TCCTCAGCCTAGCCCTTGTGGCAGGCTTTTTATGTGGGATCATTTGTGCAGGTCACAAAAGCAGACTTGCCCTTAATTGGGTTAAGTGCTTTGGTGCTTTGTGACATTATAATGAATCTCCATGCACACCCCCAGCTTCCTGCTGGCTGTGTGGTTTATTGGTCCTAAACATGACCACCTTAAATAAAACTGTTTAATTTTTGAGTCAAGCGAAGAAGACCTAGAGTTATTCACTTGTGCTTTTTCAGCCCAAGAAATCCAGGTGTGGGGCACACTTTTTTGACACATCCATCATCATCTCTACCGCTGTCAGCCTACCTCAAGACTTGGTAGCAGGCACCTTCGCGTAAGCTGCTCCCTCACCAGGACAGCGCTGCAGCAACATTTGATATTGGAACCTTTGTCCCCCCACCCATATTCATTTCAATAAGGGCAATATTTGTGAAAATACCACGAGTTATTGCTCCTTATATGCGAAAATACTACGAGTTATCGCTTACATAAGACCCTCAGCGTCCGCAATGACATTAAACTATTACCTATCATTTGTATATCATTTGTATAGGATTGGTCACCTATAAATATATAAATAAAATATTCCAGATATCTAAAGACATGCTACTCCGAATCGACACAGTGATTGTCCACATACAAGATCTCCAAGAGCATGACAGTCTTTGACTGTAAACTGCTGGCGGAAATAGATCTTTACTTAGCAGTCCACAATAGATAATTCAATTTTTAGGGAGTTATTTTGGCACACACAATGGGATATTGGGAACCCTTTTACCCAGAAGCGGTCTCAGAATTACTACATATTGCGCAACAATTAGTAATTTATTTGCTATGGGATGCCTAAACCACCTTTTCCTCAAAAGTTATAAGGCTTTTTCTCCCACCCACCCTCCCTTACTTTTGTGCCCCCCAGTCTTGTTTTAACTCGCTCATGCCGCGTCGGTTCCGGGAGGAACCTGGCAAGGGGGAGGTAATGTAGGATACAGTGAGTATGTACGAGCTTATCTGAAGACATGCGCATAAGAAGTGCAGCACTCAAAGATATATAGCAAGTACCGAGCGCATGTCCTATTCGAAGAGTCGAGAAGGATTCGCGAAGCAATTAGGATCACATGTCCGAAGACGAGTGTAAGCAAGTCAAGGATGATCCAAGCAGCGCCAAAGGATCACATTTTCAAACCTTCCATTTTTCAACTTTTGCCTATATAGCATGCCAACCTAAAGGGCAATCGAGAGACCATTGTCAACAAGTATGAACAGCGTTGGGGAACACATCTACTTGCATACAGCAATGCAAACATGGCAGCTACTCTATATAAAATCCTAAAAAGACATAGGCAACCTTTTGGGTACAAGACACAATTTTTGGAACAGCCCTCTGACCAAGGGCATCCTATTATTTGGCAGCTTTGAGCACCACCATAGACCTGGGCAAGTCAACCAAAACTGTGCCACTATGGCAGCTATGAGCGCCAACACAATGATGTCATTCATGATCATGATCGATCAGAAAGTCTATCTCGACTCAAATCACAGATCAACCACAATCACGATCAATCAAATCAATCAAATGATGTCATACTCAGACATGTGACTAGGGACATCACGCCACCTTCCAACGCCACATGATTACATTAGCATAGATTATGTAATAAAGAGCACATACTGGTCAAGATTCGAACCTGGTACTTCACCGCCCCCATGGCATAGTGGCAAGCAGCATGGGGGCAAGCAAGTGGACGATTACAACTGACAACCGCATTCGATAACCGGTGAAGCCCTCGATTGGAACCAGTATCCGGAGTGATACTGAATGGCCGTGGCAGGGCCTTAAATGTCTCTTTTTACAAATCATGCATTTTGAATGACCTTAGCACGTCACTAAACTGTTCAATGTTTGAGCTAAGTGAAAAATACCTAGAGTTATTCGCTTGTGCTTTGGCAGCTTTGAGCGCCGCGTATGACCAAGTGCATGTCTTTAAACTGCAAGCCCTTTTGCATACCATCTCGGGCAACAGCAGCCAATAGCAATGTCTGTGACATCAGATAACTAGGACCAAGAACTGTTAGCTCCACAAGTGCACCATTTACCTAAGCAAGCCATTAAACTGCATCACCCCTTTTTGCTGCTAGCAAAAGTCTTAGATGCCATTCACACAACACACCCTGCCATTCCACCCTGGAAGTCAGAACCTGAAGCGAGGGTACTATTTACCATAGCATTTATTCAGTTCATCCGGAGTCTGAACCTTGAAGCGGGGGTAGTGTCACAGTATTAAGTGGCACCTTTCTTTTTGCACCATTAAAGTCCTCATTTGAGTGGTTATTCGGACGCCAACCTTCATATTGGTCTCGCAACGTGGATACTTGGACAAACAGCACAATGCCACCACATACATCACGGACATGACTGTGTCTACCACATGACCACCAAGCGCCTATGATTCAGCCACCCAGTCATGTGACACTGGCCACTTGCCCTATTCGGAAGTTGTCAGGCATTGGTCACGTGACACCAGGCCACTTGCCCAGAAAGGAACCCATTGGACCATCAAGCTAGCAAGCACCCAATTCGCCACTCAAGATAGTGGCACCACTTTGCTGCCTAAACCAATAGGCAGATACCACAACAGAGGATCCCCCTACCAACTGGCATACAGTATAGCCAGTTACAGGATAGGCTAGATCTTCTCACAACCCTATCCAGATGAAGACTGATCGTCACACTCATTGTTCTGAGTTTGGACAGATCCTCTCATCTGATGTTGCAACCGTTATGATGTGCTCTGTTGGCCATCACCCATTGGCCCCTCAACAGTGGGCCCACTTACAGGCATTTATCTCATTGGATTAGATAGGATTACCTCGGCGTATCCACGGCCATTGTAGATAGTTGCTATGATGAAGTCCAGAACCATTACCGGTTCTGGCAATATATTCACATGTAGGTATCTGAGGTCTCACAGTAGCACAGTGCCAGGGGCCCTGCCCTACATGTATATAAGCCCATGAGGATCTAAGGGAGAACCTTAGATTCATTATTCTATTGCATGCAGCCTAACAAGCCAATTCACCCCTTTGTTGTGAGCATAAGGCTAAGGGCCCTTTGAGCCCCATTTTCAGACTGCATATCACTGCGCGCATCCTCAGCCTAGCCCTTGTGGCAGGCTTTTTATGTGAGATCATTTGTGCAGGTCACAAAAGCAGACTTTCCCTTAATTGGGTTAAGTGCTTTGGTGCTTTGTGACAGGTGTCTGCTTCATCGTGATACCATGCAGAGCCATTGTGGGCAAAGAATCTGCATGTGAAATGTCCCCCACTGGCATATATGATTCCAACTAGAGTGTAATGTACCTCACCGACGGATGTCGATAGCACACAATGATTCTCGAGCAGAATGGTAGGCTGTACCGCAGATCCATAAGGTTGAATCTCGACGGCTAGTAGGGGGGGAGGTTGTTCAATAACAGTGAGCATTGTCATTGACCATGCACATGACATGCATCTGGGACCATTGGGGTAGTTGAGTGCGAGTTGTAGGCATTCTGTTGTGGTTTGGGTGATGGGTCATTAATGATAATGATCCCAATGAAAAGGATATATGGAGAACACAGCACTATGCAAGAGCTCATGGCTTGCAATGCATGGATTAGTGCATGTGGAACAGATATTGGCTGAGTATCCAAACGGAACAGCGAACTTTAACAGAATGGAAAGAACATCAAATACAGCACATTCACGTAAGCCCGTGCGAGGAAATCGAGTGGGATGTAAGGATGATAAATTATCACGTATCATGTCATGAACAAGTTCCAGTTTCTGATGGTCTAGGGAGCTCGCTTGAAAGCCTGAATGAATACACTGCAGCATTGGGTAGAACAAGGCGAAGTGTCAGAATTGTGGATCATCACAGTCTTGGAAAATGTTCCACAGGATGGTTAGTGATGCATTGTATGCACAACTCCAGTTGTAGGCATCCCACAGTAATACAGTGGTGATGAAAGGCATGATCACGGTTGACATGGTCACTTGCAGTAAGTTGCCTTCATCATCCATGTGGCATGATCGTGATGATGCTCGAGGAGAACCGGCACTAGTCTCAGCGGGTCATTTTACACCACGGGCTAACAGGGTATCAGAAGCAGAAGCTGCAGTTTCAGATTGGGCAGAGAAGATGATGGTGGACGGGACATGGCCTCTGCGATGTTTCTCAAGTAGTTGCCACAGAGATGGCTCAGCAGGTGGTAACAGGGACGTTGCTGGACTGTGTCCCCAATCGAGTATTGATTTCATGTTTGGTGGAACATGCTGAGCTCCAAATACAGATTGGCAAGTTGTGATCAACGACACTCGAGTGCAACCATGAATCGTGGATGGGAGCTCACTGCTAAACCTGAGGTGGTGAATGTCATCCAATATCTCCAGCTCATGAAACTCACAGCATAGATCACCGCTCATACTGCCTGTCAGTTTGAAAGCATCAAATCCATCAAGAATTAACGTACCAAAAAGGGATGAACTGCAGGAGAGGCAGGTATACATCGATTGATGGCCTTTGCAGTGTTTCAAGTGTGCAACGTTGAATGGACGAGTGCACCCTTGTGCACCAAAGTCAGTCATTGCGAAGTCAGGAAGAACATTCGCCTGCTCCCGATCGATGTTCACCACAGTGTCATTCTGTAGGACACATTTAACGTGCGTCTTTGACCGAGGTATAGCAATGACGTTTGGTGGCAGACCTTCAATTTGCATAGGCAGCGGAGGCGATTTCAACCGTACAAAGAGAGTATCCAATATCTCATGGCCAAACTCATTGTTATGAGAGTCCCATCCATACACATACTCCTTGGTGCTGTTGGTTGCACACAACTCTGTTGCCTCCTTATTCTTTAGCATAACAGGCATTTCTGGGCATAATGATAAAATTCCAGCGCAGTGGCCACTGAGAGCAGGAGGTAGAGACCACAGAATGTTTTGTATCCCAGTAACGATGTTATCCGAAGATCGCTGAGGATTCCAGGTGGAGTCCTGAGTACACTGAGTGCTGCGTACAGAATCCAGTTCATGGGAAGATGACCAGGTGTCGATAGAGTGAAAGTGCGTAAGATTCACGTGGTGATTAGCTGCAAAGTGTTTGGTACATACTTCGTTAATAGCATCACGATGCATATTAAATGCAGTGATCGTAGTGACGTCTTGAAAGCGACAATCTGCAAAGCAATCACTGAGAGGGTGCGAAGCAGTTGTAATAACTTGGGAACAGAGCAGAGTAATATCTTCTGGAGTGCAAGACTGACATCGCATATTTTGTAGCACTGTACGAAAGTGCACGTCCTCATTGGTCATGCCCTGTTGATGCATATTTTTTTGTAGAATTATGACTGTGATGAATTGATGCCATAGCGCCTTTCCAATGGCACTTTGCTGAGCAACCAGCGAGGTAGCGTTCGACCACAGTCTGATGCTGTTAGAGTAGAGAGAAGCAGCATGTCTTCCAGCAGGAGGAAGTTGGGCAAAGTCTCCTGCAAGAATGACATTCAATCCTCTGAATGCTCGATCACTGATGCCCAATGCCTTGGATATCTGGGCACTGATGCGATACAATTCCAGGCATGATATCATCGATACCTCATCGATGAAAATAGTATCAACGCCCACAAGATGTTCACGTACTTTAGACAACGATGTAGGATTGCAGTTGCCCACATGATCCGAAGAGTGAGAAAATCCCAATACAGAATGGTATGTCGAACCAGAAATCAAGCACGCTGCAGATCCTGTAGGCACCATCAATAAGAACCGGGATGATTCACCTCATCGTTTGAGAAACGCACCAACAGCATGAATAGACAGTGACTTGCCTGTGCCCCCTATACCTCTGAGATACATTTGCAGGGGTGTCTTTATGCGATGATGAAGATGAGGAGTGCAGATGCAAAACATTCGCTGCTGCTCTTCATTCAGGCTAAAAGTGCGCATGATTTCTTTCATCAATGATATAGTACTGTCTTCTATAGAGTGAGGAATACTGGAAAATTCAGCTGAGTGAGATGCAAAAGCATCATACTGCAAGACACTGACAGTGTCTTCCCACAGGAATGAAGGATCACCAATGTTCAAACCGGGAGGGGTAGGCACACTGCACTGTGCTGTGGATAGGCGATTTTGCATTACTGCTTCCTTTGCAGATGACATCACGGCTTTCCAACAAGCAGGAGATCTAACAGGAATGTCATCAGCGGCAGCACATAGATCGGAAGACAAATTACACGTCAACCTATCCGTTGTGAGGACTGTAGTTGGGCTGCCACTACAATCTTGCACTACAATTCTGACTTGTTTATTATTTTATTTTCAGTTTTACTTATCTTACCTAATTTGTTTTATTTATCTTCGAACTTTTTCGGGTAGTATAAGAGGCTCCTAGTTAGAAGTTTCCGAGGACTTGTTCCCCTCCCCTCCATTGTGTAGCTAGAGGTGAATCAATTGTCCCTCTCTGTGCACTGTGTGAGCGTGATATCTACACGTTCCTGGCCAGATTGAGTGCCTGCGAACAGACCTCTCAAGATCATCTCTGGAAGCCATCTTGGGGCCTGTCTCGGAACAACTTCTTTGCTTCTACCTTGCTTTCCGGAGCACCTCCTCCACTTCCTGCCATACTTCTCTCCTTCCCGAAGGACCCTCCTGGACTAGGCAACACATAGTAAACCCCTCGGATGAACATATTGCACTTCAGCACCAGCTCCAGTGACGATCACACATTTTGGAGCCCACCGTGAGGGGTTTCATTCTATTGCCCTGTCTTACTCCATCCATCCTCAGGACTGCATCAAAATATATACAAGTATGCAACAACACGAGCTTGGGCTGGAATCTGGTACAGGTATGATAGCCAAAGCATGGAGGTGCGCAATGAGCTGGGTCAAGTACAGGGTTAAAGTTGCATTGAGTTCAGGCTCAGCGGAATCCATAATGAGTTTCAATGTGTCGAGTCTGGGCTCAGCAGAGTCTACAATGAGTTATAATGCATCGAGAACAGGTTCAGCGGAGCCTACAATGGGTTTGAGTTCAGCAAAACTCAGCAGAGCGTGCATCCAAAAATGCGTCGAGAATGGGCTCAGTGGAGCCCACATTGCGGAATGGCTTAGCGGAGCCTTCATCAGGTTATGCATCAGGGTGCAGTTCAGCAGAGCACACCTCGCATTATGTGTCAGCGGGTTCATGCTCAGCGGAGCATGCATCGAAAAATGTGTCGGGTTTTGCATCGAGAACGTGCTCAGCAGAGTGTGCATTGTGAACTACCTCAGGATCAGGTTCAGCGAAGCCTGCACTGGAACCTACATCAGCTTTATGCTTAGCGGAGCATGCGTCGATGACTGCAATGGAAATGATCTCAGAATTGGGCTCAGCGGAGCCTGTTTCAGGAACTGTCTCAGAAACTGCACCGGAGACTGCATCAGAACGGACATTAACATCGAGCTCAGTGGAGGCCATGATGAGTTTTGTGCCAGGATTATGCTCAGCGGAGTGCATGTCAGAGGACAGGTCATCAGGTTTGAGCTCAGCAGAGTGTGCAGCAGGTTTCTGCTCAGCGGCATGTGCGTCGAGACAGGAGGCATCGAGAATGTGCACGAAGTGATTGGCAGCAGAGCGGCTCATGGTGCCTTTGAAAGAACAACACGAAGTGGAAGATAGAAGGATATTCGAGGATGATGAGGTGGGGCGAGCAAGCAGCAGAGACAGACCAGAGATGCATCCCATCGGTGACATTGAGAGTACAGCAGAGAGCACAGTGTCGAGGGCGCTACCCAATAGCATGGAGCAAGGTGACTTCTCCAAGGTGAACAACATGGAAAGCCGAGCGCAGGTGGCTGGTGTGACAAGTGGGCAGGCCTTGAGCTGCAGCAGGACATGGGAGGTGAAAACTGGCATGGGAGACATTAAGGTGCATGACAGCGGGAGCAATGCATTGTGCAGCACTCCAAGAGTCACGGACAATGACGCCCCCGATGCTTGGATAAGTAAAGACATGGAGGACGTACCTAGGACAGTTGAAAATGCGTGACCGCACTGTGATGATCTTCCTGCTCACTCGACACCCCCATAGACCTGACTTGACATCAGCATGTGGCTTCATAAGCTCTGCGATAGCAGCTCACCGGGTCTGGTTATGATCACTCACATTATCTACAAATGCCTTATTCAAGTGAAACCCAGGCTGTGTGTTCTGGCAGTGGCATTCTTGGACGTTCTGGCATCCCCAGAGTCAGGCAGCAGGTGGAGAGCAATGGAGCTGGGCAGATAGATGACAAGGAGACAGACAGGTCAGATTGTGTCAAGCCAACAGAGGAGGCAGGTGAGGAGAACACGATTAATGATCTTAGTGAAGAAAATGAGTGCGACTTACTGCGAATGAATCATCAACACACCTCGCCGTCCACGCCTTGACCCTCTGACTGTGTTCTGATGACACCTGCAGCCATGCATGCTCCCGGGCAAACCTCCAATTCTGCTGCCATAAATGAGGTGAGAATGCCAGAAGAGACAAAGGCGTGACTTACCAGTGACAGAGAGATTGTGGCTAGCACAGTGGGTGACATCGCTGTGCGAACGCTTAGCAAGTTTCACCTGCAGGAGCAGCTTATCGCATATAGCAAGCATGCGAAGTTCGAGATGGGCAACGGGACTTTGAAGATGGCCAGTGACCTTCGAGGAAAGCCGGTGGGTAGGGCAATGTGTGAGGAGGCACACAGGTCGGGCAGCATTGCACTGACAGAGGAGGCCAGCAGGGAAGGGAGAGCAATCAATGGGCATGGAGACAGAAACAGGTGCAGCTCACCACAAATGAATTGTCAACACCCCTCATTACCCACTGCATGAACCTCCTACTGCACTCCAATGATGTGTGAGGCTGTGTACGCTCCTGAGTCACCCTTCAATGTGGTAGTTACTGCATACCGTGTGCGCGTAGAGCTTCAGGCTCACCATGGTACTCAAGAAGTGGCAGGTGGCGATCCAGAAAAGCGAATGGACAGTGCAGCGTTTGCAGAAATCCATGATCTGAGTAGAGTCAAGGCACAAGTGGAGGCAAGCGATAAGAAGAATATGGTCAGCGAGCGTGAAAAGTGAAGCAGGGGTAACTCACCACAGATGTCTCAAAGAGGCTCCTCACTGTCCAATGCACAATGCTCCAGCTGCAGTTCCATGATGTCTGCTTTCATGTGCATTCTTAAAGAAACCCAAGATACTGTTGCCAAGGGGGCTGGGACAACAGCCTGCAATCCCGTGCGAATGTGTAGTGAGAGCGACCTGGAGGAGCGGCTTCCCCTAAATGATATGCATGCAGAGCCCAAAATGAGCAATGGCAGCCATGAAGCAGTCAGCGATGTTCGAGGAGAGTATGTGGATGGAGTAATGTATGGGGTGGCAGGTGAGGTTGGTAGCAGCGAGATGCGGGCTGAGGGAACTGCGGAGGAGGTCACAGGTGATGATCATGAAGGCAAAAATGAGCACGGCTCACCACTAATGTCTCAAAAATATGATTCGTCACTGAGCGTGGATTTCTCCAGGACTGGGTTCTCTTGTTGCAGTCCAATGATGTGTGCACCTGGGCGCACTCCTGAACAATCCTCAAATACCACCAACACAAATGAGGCAAAGAGGTGGAATGGAGTGAAGACACGATTGCCTGGCAGTCGAGACACTGTGGCAGGCATGATGACAAGTGACTTTGGGCAACCACGTTGCGAAATTGAGTTGAATGAGCTCGTTATCTCATACAGCATGAGCGTGGAGTTTTGAACACATGACAGTAACTGAGGAGCAGCTGATGACGATCAAGGGAAGCGGAGCAATGTCATGGTGCATGTTCATGAGGTGGGCGACTTCGGGGTACAAGGGAAGCTCAGTGAGGAGGAGAGGCCCAGCAATGCGCATAGCGCTGCATGCAAAGGCGAACGTGAACTGGCATGCAAAAGCGAACATGGGACAGAGGCTGTGCAGGTGCCTGGCATGCATACCCATGCGGTGAACACAGTGAGATGTGGTGAGCACAACCCTGGTTCACATGGCCTGCATCAGGTGCAGGAGTTCCAGGACAGCAAAGACAAGTATAACTCACCATGAACAGTTTGAGAATGCCCCTTGTCATCCAGTGCACTGTCCTCCTATAATGTTCCAATCATGTCTGCAGCTGCGCACATTCACGAATGTTCACGAATGACGTACTGATACTATAGCTGAGAAGAAGGCGTGACCATATAAAGAGAAATTGGGGCGACGTGCCCACGAAAATGCATCTGCCAGGCTCGCAGCATGTGAACATGCTCTCGATGGAACTGAGGATGACGTGGCAGTGCAGTCAAGCATTGAAATGTGCATAGGGGTGCGAGGAACTAGCGCCATTGATGGAATGATGAACATGGAAAATACGGAGGTGGTGAGCAGCATGTGTGGAGCCATGAGCGAAGGCGAATGCCAGAAAAGGGCAGAGGATGTAGTTTAAGCATGCGCTGATGCAGCGGATGTCACTCGGACACATACTGATGTGACAGATGGTGACCCTGAGCAACGGGTTCACAAAATTGAGTCAGTGAAACTGACTACTGGGAACTGCATGCATGCTGGGCTTCGAGACAGTGATCATATCTGAGACACGGCCGGTGATGTTCAAGGCAGATGGATTGATAGCGTGATGTGTGTGAAGGTCCTCGGGATGGGTAGCATCGATGTGTGAGTGAAGGTGAGTGGGAGGAATGATACTTTCAGCAGACATGAAGGCACGCGCAGAGGTGACTCACCAACAATGACGCGAAGATACCCCAGCTCCCTCGACATGCTTCGCCCTAGCTCCAGTTCAGCAACATTTGCAGCTGCATACATTCCCGAACGACCTTCGAATATGGGTGCAACGAATGTGATGGGAATGCGAGAAAAGGCAAAAAATGAGCTTACCTGCCTCCAAGGCATTGTGGCTGGGGGACTGGGCTGTGTTCCTGTGTGAATGCATAGTGAGAGCGACCCAAAGAAGCTGCTTGCCACGTCTAACATGCAGGTAAAGTTCGGATCGACTGACAGTATCCGGGAGGGAATGAGTGATAAGCGAGGCAAGCAGATGAGTAGCGTGGTGTGTAGAGATGCACATGAGATGGGCTGTGTCAATACAAGAATGATCAGTGTGCTAGAAGAGAGGAATGAGGACGACTCACCATGAGCGATTCATCGCTGTCCTCATCATCCGCCACGAGATTCTCCAATTATAATCTGCTCCTGTTTGCTGCTGTACATGCTCCTGAATGCCTCTCTGATACTTTAGCCCAGAGAACTCAGCGAGACCATGGAAAGGAACCGAGATGACTTACCTGCAAAAACGCGTCTGACGGACTCCCTGTGCATGACTATGGTCGAAGACGACCTGAGGGCGATTCACCAGTGGGGACATGCAGCGAGGCAGGGAAGAGGCACATGCAATTGGTGCCCTTGAGGTGCAGGTAAAGTCAGCAAGAGCAGAGATGGTGAGTGGTCAGTACATCGCAGTGCGCAGTGATGGAGATGAAGGTGGAGCGGAGGACATTGCTCAAGCATGCGCTGGTGTGGCTGGTGTCTCTTGGGTTCATGTCACCATGGCGGACATGTGTCAGGTGCCTTGCAATGTGTTGGACAAGAGGTGCGCACTAGTGATCAATTCTTGGAACGACTCGGCTTTGCCTTTCTCAGGGGAGTCTCTGGTCTCAGAATGCGACTCTGCGACTTCGATCATGACATCTGGCTCACCGTCTGTGATCTCTGGGGCCTGTCACCACTATAGCAGTATAGATCATGAGCTTGATGTGATGAAGGAGGAGTTCAAAGGACTTACCTCACACATAGGCAAACCTGCGGAGTTGCTCCACGGATTCAAGGCATGCGATCTTCGGGTGGCCATGATGCCTGTTCACGACGGAGAGCTATGGAATGCAGTGGAGATCCTCCAGCTTCAGGCTCAACAGTTCAGGCAACACCTTAATAGAACCACGCATGCCCTCTCAGATTACATCAAAGCACTTGAAAACTCGTACGTGAGGCTCGGGAATCGTATTGATGGTCTCGAACATGTAGCCACTGAGGCTAGCCAAGCGGTGAAGTCTCGATATAACCCATTAGAGCAGGCAGTTGACTCATGGCTAGCACAGTTCACAGGTGGACATACCATTCCCGGTGATGCTATCGACAGTGCGAAGTGGTGGCTTGGAGTCCTCGAGGCGCCACCTCCCAGTGGTGCATGGTGCAAGTCCGGACGAGTTTGAACAGGAATGCCATCATCAAATGATGGGTCAATGTAGAGTGGCTCACCATCTAGTACATCCTCAACAGGGAGCCAGAGTGGGCGGCGTTCGCAGCGAGGGGGGCAGAACTGGGGTGCATGTGGGAGGAGATTGATAAAGTGAGAACTGAGCCAGCAGCGATTATGCAAGTGCAAGAGCATATCAGGTCGAGCGTACCTTCTCAGGGTGATGTCTTGGTATCACTGGATCAGCAAGGCATTTGACTAGCATCATCAGCAGGATCAAGAGCTAGGGATCCACAGGAGTCTATCGAGTTAGTATATAATGTGGCACAAAGGGATGCGCTGACACATGATGCACTGGATGCCTTCTACACACACATTGATGACATGCACCCAGGTCAGGCCTGTGGCGACACAACTTGCGTGTGACTTCTCGAGAATGTACTACAGGCCATCAATTGCTGGGCATGGGAGCAGTGGTCCTTGATGCCTTTATGACCTCCAGGATGGGTTGCTTCACCGTGAATGCCTCCAAGACTTTCTGTAAGCTTCTTTGTGAGTACTCTGATTATGTTGTGGATGTGGGGCATTGACCAGGGATGGTCAACATTTTGTGTTGGGGGGAGATGTGAGGACTGTAGTTGGGCTGCCACTACAATCTTGCACTACAATTCTGACTTGTTTGTTATTTTATTTTCGGTTTTACTTACCTTACCTAATTTGTTTTATTTATCTTTGGACTTTTTCGGGTAGTATAAGAGGCCCCTAGTTAGAAGTTTCTGAGAACTTGTTCCCCTCCCCTCCATTGTGTAGCTAGAGGTGAATTAATTGTCCCTCTCTGTGCACTGTGTGAGCACGATATCTACGCATTCCTGGCCAGATTGAGTGCCTGCAAACAAACCTCTCAGGATCATCTCCAGAAGTTGTCTCGGGGCCTGTCTCGAAATGACTTCTTTGCTTCTGCCTTGCTTTCCAGAGCACCTCCTCCACTTCCTGCCATACTTCTCTCCTTCCTGAAGGACCCTCCTGGACTAGGCAACACATAGTAAACCCCTCAGATGAACATATTGCACTTCAACACCAGCCCCAGTGATGATCACACACTGTGTGGATCCGTTGCATCAACGTGCACATTTCTGCCATCTGAGCCCGATTGCGAGATGTGACAGCTCCCTGATGGGATAGCTCATCTTGAAGCATACTAAGTAGTTGATCCTGAGTAAAGTCTAACAGTGTGTTTGGGTCTTCGTTTTCGGTGTCACAAGAATCCCTAGTGGAACTCATAAGAAATGCCAAGCCAGACGATAACTGCTCATTTGCGAGGCGCTGCGAAGCAAAATCATCATGAGCATCTCGACACTCGTATAAAATGTTCATGTTGGCCATAATGCAAATATGTGGTGGGTCAAATGTGGTCCTTTCAAATGCAGAGTCCCAGCTTTCTGATGGTGATTTCAAATCGGATCCAGATCGCCAACTGCGTGGGTTAAAAAAAGTTAGCATTGTCAAGCAGAATGTCTCCCGATCTTCTTTGTCATGATGAGGAAGTGCCTTGCCGAGAAAATTGAGAACATAGTGTTTACTCTCTGTCACACAGACTACAGTGTGTGTCTCATGCATGGGATGTCCAGTGAGAAAGCGACCTGAAAAAGATGACTGATGTCGAACATCGTCGTTTGCTCTGGTCTCGCATACAACATCACTTCTGGTTGTGGACCGATCTCGATGACGGTTCCGAACAACATCGGTTTGTACTAAATAATCGTACAGGCACCAGTTATCATATGAATGTGGTCAGAAAACATGATCGTTGATCTTATTAAGGGGAACAATGCTGTTTCGGCTTTGACTGATTATTACATGCTCCTCATTGATGTCGTCACTGGCAATGTCACCGTTGAACTCATGCATAGCCGAGGAAGGGCAATTAGCCTTAGACGTGCCAGTGACATAGTTGAATATGGAGCCCAGTAGAATTTTTTAAACACAACATTCGTGTAGTGGTCGGGAAAGCCGAGTAAATAGGCACATACCATCGACGCTCCAATTTTTCTTTTCACAGACAATGCATTGATGACTTTAGTCACTACTGACTGCGTGCAATCTTCGTTCGATTCGGCATGTGTTATGGCTTCACTGTGTTTGTCAAGCACCACCCAAATGCTTTCGAATATGGAATGCATCTGAAGAGGAGATTTGGTAACATAATCTGTGATGTATGCAATAATGGCACACACCTGCATTCCCGATAATAGACAGGTAATGTTGGTGTTACATCGAAGAGCATGAAACATTACAAGATTGAAAGTGTTGATCCATGGCTCTGTCTTTTTAAAGTGAATAGCCCCTGTATCATTGTCGACATGTGTGGACGGATATAGCTCATGAGAAAAATGAGCCCGACATGTACTTTCAGCTGTACATCTGCAGCCTTTTGAAGTAGATGTCTGCAACCTACAGCGATGCTGATTGGATGCATACATGATGTCATCTGCATCATGCAGCACTTGGCTGTACACTTCTGTGACTTCGTCAGCAGTGCATATGTTTGCCGGCTGAACATGGGCCAACATTAAAACAGATCGCGCATCACATTCGTCAGAATCTACATCCACGCCATGAGCAGCATGATGTGTTTTTATATCAGTCAAACTTCCAGATGAGTAATCACCTTGTTGACAATCATCCAACCAATCCAACATCAATTGCTGAAATACAGAATCGATGAGGATACGTGATCGTATCTCTAAAGGGCTGAGAGAGTTCATGATCCATAACAGCATGTGCATACGCAGCATTTGTCGACCCTGGGATTCAACAGTACCATAGTATGCAGATATCTTCCTGAACAATTCGCCTTTGTCAAAACACGTAGGATGTTCGTGATGAATGAAAGCACCATGAAGTTAAAAAAGTGAGCACACACAACAGGATTATCAGCTATCCTGCGTAACTGATCTGCATATTGTGGGAATGCACTGCACAAATCGAACATATCAATATTTTCCCCACAATAATAAAGGCAAAGGGAATGGTTGATGTCAACGGACGAGAATGTTATAAAAAATAGTGGAATGTTACGTGTGATAATAAGACTGCGAATCTCACTTCAAAGTTGCTTATGCTTCGCAGACGACCCATCTACGTGCCCCGCAATGTAGTCAAGGATAGAAATTAGTTCAAAGCACTTCTTTTCATCTTCATCCTCCGCTCAGAGATAACGATTACTTTGGCCCCTATTGACTAACCATTGCAAAATGTCTGGTTTCAATGAACATACCAAATCTGCCACCTGTCAGAAGTTGCGATGCTCTGTCAATAGATAACCACCTCGAGTAGAGTCTTTAATTTGTTGTTGGTTAAATACAATGAATGGGAAGTAATAATCTGTCTGAAAACGACGGTCAATGTAAGTGAGCAAATATCGAATATGCTCACCACGGCCAATGCGAGCCTTTATAAGCGAATTTTCCAGCCTGCCAAGGCCATAGGGAAACAGCCACAGAAACATACTTGGAAGCAATGCGCTGTTATGGTATATGCTTTCCGGCTTCACGCTGTGACCGTACCCTAAAACAGCACCACCGTTATGAAATATTGCAATGCAGTCGCAATGCGAGTCTTATACGACATAGTAGCGACATCAGTGGTGGATAAACCATGCACAGCAAAAGGACAATGACCTTCATTAGTACCCCGTTCCTCATCAACTTCATGCACAGACATGGACTCCGCTGGTGTCCTCTCGTCAGACTCTCGATGAAGAACTGTAACAGGTGGCTCATGTTCCGAATACTGAGCAATATTTTCATGAGATATCACCACACCACTGTAGTCAGAATGATTTAGTTTAAGCCAATTAAGAGCGGCAAGAACTGCATGATGTCACACTACCAATGGAGTACGTTTGAAATCATCCTCATTCGGACAACATGGATCTGTGAACAGGATTGCCAACACATCATCTAAATCACTCCTAGGAGGCAGTAATACATCATATATTTTCTCGACCGGCTGTGAAAACGCAATGGTGTTAGCGATCATTTTCCGTTGTCCCTTGGTTACTTTCACTATGAATGAGTTATGCCTGACTTTTGCGACTAACATCTGTTCCACAAACGTAAGTTCGTGTAAGATGTTGGAGACCTCACCCAACCATAATCCATTAGCAAGAGCGGTTTTCAGCAACTTGTTGCGTTCAACTAACACAGACCGACACGAATTGCACATGTCCAGGTAAGAAACGCTGTCGACAACCTGAATACACTTCGCATGTAAGACAGGACCTGACAACGAAGCAATTGCATCTGATGATGAGTGTCGTTCACGATGAGTGACAAACTCTCCATCTCTATGTAAAGGTGAAAGGTCAATGAGATCCATGGGTACTGACTGAACATGTTTACTGAGACATACATGAGCGCATACGGCACATGACTTTTCATACACTGCAGGTATGTCGATGTAATCGCTCTAATCTCACAAAATGCTCAATTTTTCCTCTCGCTGCAATGTCGCAGGAGGAAATGCACTGGAGGACATCGACGCATCATCAGATGACAAAAGCATACTGGAGTGGACCGATTCCTCAGATGATCTAGCCACACGAAATGATAGAAACATTCTACAATAAAGCCAGCAACAATGAGCAACAAGATCATGCACAATATTGTCACAGTATTAGGTGGCACCTTTCTTTTTGCAGCATTCAAGTCATTATTTGGCAACCACAAGTAGTTATTCAGATGCCAACCTTCATATTGGCTACTTCATAGTGGATACTTGGACAAACAGCACAATACCACCACATACATTGGAGATATGACTGTGTGTTACGAAGCTAGGCAGCAATCACCTAGGAAAGGGGGGAGCTCACGAATGAGCCCCGAGCAAAAAGTTTCAAGTTTTTGATCACGTGATAGTAAGGGCACATGCAGTTACCAGATCAAGCATCCCTGTGGTGTGGGAAGAGCCCTATACCATTTCGGGATATCCCACCAAGTGGTAGATGCTTCACATCTACTGTGGGAAGATCTAGCAAGATTTATTGTATGTTTAACGTTCACGTTTCATACTTTTCATTTCTTTCTATTTCACATCGGACTATTTCATATTCCTCTATTGCATATTGGTATATTTCATATCAGTTCATTTCAGGTTTCTATTTCACCTGTACTAACATTAGCTCACCAATTACTTGGCTCGCAGCGGTTAAGTATTTGTCTCAGTCTATTTCATTTACTCTATGAATAGCTGTAGGAGACCCCATGTACTAGGACCCCAGACTATAGGTCTGTGACGATATAAAGGGGCGGAGCAGCAGCTGGAAGACTAACCTCTTCCACTTGTGACTCTGACGTTCTCACTGTCTAGAACCCTTGTGCAATCTACTATCTCTTAGAGGTGGCAAGCTCGTACCGCTTGCTGGGGATAGCGTCCATTGGCAAAGGCATCTGCCTTGCAGTAGACAACACTATAAACCAGAGATACGATCGTATGTGTGGAAGCTTCATGTGCGGAGGGTTCTAGTAAGGAACGCTTCATAACATTTGGAAGAGGTTTTTTCTATAGGTCAACCTGTTTAGGTTTAGAACCACTTACGAGAAGTGGGGTCTACTTGGACGCTACAGAAAACCAACTCCATCAAGTCCTCAAACAGGGGTATCCAATTCTAGAGAACTCGGTGCACGTTGCGGCCTCTGCACCACTTGGAAAAACAGGGAGAACCACTCTGAAGTATCCGTCACTACGGTACTTCGCCCGAGGAGGGAAAAAACAGGGAGAACCACTCTGAAGTAGCCGTCACTATGGTACTTCGCCAGACAGGAGATTCTCGGAGAAGGGAACCTCGGTACTTGTTGCGGCAAGGTACCTGCTGAAGGCAGTGTCGACTTGAGCCTCATCCTCACCAGAGGTGCTGGGTATACAGAAGACGCCGATTAAGGGCCACCGAAAGAAGGCACCCAGACCTTGCCGAGGCCAGTTTTCAATCGAGAAAATGTGGATAGGAAGGACGATTGGTTATAGGCACCAAGCAGAGGAAATCAAAAGCCAGAACGACCAAGCGCTCAAACGGGAGTAGGCAGGAGTTCGAAGTGACTAGCTGGGCACTTTAAAAAGCAAGCACAGGATATCCGAGGTCTAGAAAAGAAGACTAGGACTCTGACTGGTTAACGCTACCAGGCAAATCAAAAGGCGTACGTGATTGATTAAGGGCCACCAAAGATCAAAAGGCAGGAGTGCGGAGTTTTTGTTACAGGAATGAACTCAAGCACTAGCGATTACTGGTGTGGTAATCCAGAAGAGAAGCCCTCATCTGAGGCACACATTGAAGACGTGCTAAAGCCCTTCCCAGGGAAGGCAATCGAGGAATCTTAGGTCAAGACAAGATTCTGAAGTAGAACCCTTCATGGCAGGATGCAGTCATTGTCATTAGATGGCTTCATTTGACGTTGCACCAAATCTTCCACGAAGGACAGTATTCCCAGTTGAACGGCAGGAAGGACATTCACGGGAACCCAATCTATACTCTCTGGAACGACGCTAGCAGACCCCAGAGATATATCGTTGACAACCGTACTCACCTGGCTATTTGTCAACCATCGACAATTGTGTCTTCGTTAAACAAATCTGGCTGAATATTGGGCGTCGACCGAAGCAAGAAATTTTTTGTTTTTGAGACGAAAACGTAAGGAAGGTGGGAGCTAGGGGGATATGGGTATGGATTCCTATGGCTAGGACATCCGAAGAGAAATGAAGGATGGCCTACCAGGAATTTGAAGAAATGCTTGTGGAACGATAAGCACCCATGTGGATATGGATTCCTATAGGTAGGACAGCCGAAGAAGACACGAAGGATTGCCCTACCAGGAATACAGAAGGGAGCTTGTGGAACAATGAGCTCCACTTCCCAGATTCCCTAACCATGCTAGGAAAGGGGGGAGCTTGTAGAACACAAGCCTTCACATGTCTATGCATCGAAACAAATTCCCTAACCACGCTAGGAAAGGGGGGAGCTTGTAGAACACAAGCCTTCACACGTCTATGTGTCGAAACAAATTTTTCATTTTTATGTCCATCGCCATTTGGAGAAAGACACCGAAGTCAAGTTGGTTCTTTCATCGAAGGGTCTCAATGGGTGAAGAAGGGAGCTTATGTTACGAAGCTAGGCAGCAATCACCTAGGAAAGGGGGGAGCTCACGAATGAGCCCCGAGCAAAAAGTTTCAAGTTTTTGATCACGTGACAGTAAGGGCATGTGCAGTTACCAGATCAAGCATCCCTGTGGTGTGGGAAGAGCCCTATACCATTTCGGGATATCCCACCAAGTGGTAGACGCTTCACATCTACTGTGGGAAGATCTAGCAAGATTTATTGTATGTTTAACGTTCACGTTTCATACTTTTCATTTCTTTCTATTTCACATCGGACT